AGCCCCCCAAGGACCATTCCTGACAAAGCCTCCCCAGGGACTCTCCAGCAGATCCTTGGAGGCCGTGAGTGCAGGGAGGCAAAAGCTCTGGGCAGCAGCTCAGATGCTGAGAAAAGCCTGGCTCGCTTTGGGGAAGTTTCCTTCCTTTTCAGGTTTCCTCCAGCTTTGGGAAACGCTGCCTGTGAGATTGGCACCACCTAAGAAGGGCTCTGGCAGGTTCCTGGGAGCAAAGCTGGCCTGCCCTGGGCTCCACCTGAGATCTTCGGAGCACGGAGACACCTGAGAGTTAAAAAGAGGAGGCTGCATCTTTGACAACATTTGGGAACAAGGAGGGATTGCTCACATGTGGATAATCTGCATGGGAATGGTTGCTTTGGGTTAAAGCATCAAATTAACATAAATGTGGGTATCTCAATGATTTGTTTTGGTTTTAAATAAGAATATTTAATTTTTCTGTGTATTTCTATTATGAAGTTGGTAGATTAGAAAACAATCATGGTGACTTTTCTCTCATGCAAACTTTAATTTGATCTTGGGAATTTTATTTGATAAAACTCACAGGAAAATGGCACAAATATCGTGGGAAAATAAGCAAAGGATTAGGACCATGTGTTTGTGGGAATTCAGATTTTTCTCTTGAAAAAATACCCTGTGCTTCTCCCTTGGCTAATTGGATACTCGATGGTTTCTGACCTGCTGTTCTCACCAGTGACACCTCCGAGTTTAAGAAGACTTCTCAATGGGTGTTAGTGCTGGCTGAGACACAACAGCATCCTCAGCCCTCGCCTGGGAGAGGACATTCCCTCCCCAGGCCAACCTGAGTTCCTGAAACCCCTTTTCAGCTGAGTTGTGTCTTCCTTAGAAGACATCTGCCATGGAGAAGCTGCTGCCTTGTAGCTCCCCCCCTGCCAGTGAGCCCTGCAGGGAGTCCCTGTGCTCTGGGAGGGTGGGGAATGCACAGGGAGGGCTCAGCTCCCCGGGCAGCAGGAGCATTGCTGGGCCTCTGCAGGGCTCGCAGGGCATTGGGGAGTGTTGCAGGGCTGGGATGGGAGCGAGTGGGCCCTGGGCTGGATTTGTGAGGGCTCAGGAATCCCAGGGACAGAGCAGCAAGGTCGGGAATGTTGAATGATCCGTGACTCTCTCAGAAGTTATAAAAGCCTGATCTGTTCAGGCAAATCAGGTATGGTGGGGAGATCACCCTCTTTGAACCACTTTCTTCTCTGGATGACTGAAAACTGCAGGACACACTGGCACTGCTTGCATGAAACTGTCTTGTAGCAAAGTTAGGAACCCTGGTTATTTCTGCATAAATTGTTCCTTACCTGTCCCGCTAAAATGCCCCATGGATACATCAGAGCCACTGGATTCACCGGAAGAGAAAAGCCTGGTTTACTTCCTATGGGATTCACCCCTCACCATGCAAAGGTGAATGATTCAGATCTTGGACAGTCTCCCAGATCTTTGTATACTTACAGAGTGCCAGGGGATGAGTTCCCACATGTGAGGAGAACTGAGATTAATCTATCTCACCAAGGTCTAAGAACTGAGCCATGCCTTGCCTTGCTTTGTTTGGATTGCTTCTCCTTGCCTTGCCTTGCCTTGCTTCCCCATTTTCATCACTTTCCTCCTTTTTCCCCCTCTTTCTTCTCATTCTTACATTAAATGCATCTCTTCAAGATCTGGACAAGGAATGTAAGCCAGACTGTTCTACAAGGGGCTGGTATTTACCCATTTCCTTCCTTTTTTTTCTCCTCTATACCCAGGCATTCTATTTAATAAAATCCCCTCTGACCAAGCAAGTCAAGGTTCCCTTATCTCTGTGGCAAAGCTGGGTCATGCAGGCTCACGAATTCTGTTCTTCCCTCCCTTTGCAAACCTCCCTGCAGCAAATGGCCTCTGTTGGATTCCCAAACCTTCCTGCAGAGCTTGGTCCAGCTGCCCTCCTCCTGCAGTCCCGTGTGTGCTGGTGTGTGGAGTCTTTCTCTAGGCCTGAAGTGCGGGTGGTGGAGCTGAAATAACAAATACCGGCTTAATAGCACCTGTGGCTCTTGGGTTTTACTGCTGCTGCTTTTTCTCGGCATCACTATGAGGTCTCCACAGAACCTTCTCTTCTGCCTGTCACTGGCACGGGCTGTCTTAGCCAGCTAAGCTCTGGGATGGTGGCTGATGTTGGTGTCATAAGTTTACTTGTTCTAAAAAACCAAGGGGGAATTTTTTTCTTTCCCCTGCATCAATGTAAAAGAAAGGTGCTTGCCTAGGGAAATTGACACACACAAAGGAACTAACCAGGAGATCCACATTCCAAGCTGACAGCAACCTGAAGACGGTGGGGACTCCGAGACTCCTCAGAAACGAGAGGCACTTCACTTTTGCCCTAACTCGGAGAAAGGTGTGTGTTGGAGGGTTCGCTTTGGTTTTGGCCTGGTCACCTGGCTGTTTTCTGGCCCTGGTTTGCCTCTGTTTTCCTGTGCCCTGTTCTGCCCCCAGCCCAGACCTGCTCGGATTTCATCAGAGAGGTTTGACCCACCTGCAGAGGAACCCTTTGGGGAGGAGGTCGCCCTCTCTCTCCTCCACTCCCGTGTTGGCAGTGGCGTGCGTCCATCGATGAAAGACGGGAAATCCTGGCCATAGCCAGCTGTGGACAGCGTGAGTTTCTTGGGAAGAGCCCCCTTTGTCCCCTTTGTCCCCTTTTCCCCTTCCTGGTGTGTGGGGGGAAAATCCCCATTTCCAGCTCCTCCCTTACACTGAGGCCCAACAGCGCCCCCTGCCGGCCACCACCGAGCACTGCTGGTTCCTGCAGTGCCCCCTGCCAGCTGTGGTTAGAATGGCGCCGAAATGCAGAAAGTATGGAACTGTTTCCTTTTGGAAGGGTGTTTTTGGGTACACGGTTATTCTGTGGTTGTTTTTGTGTTCTTTTGTTGTTCTGCCAATATACATATATCCTTTAATAAAGGGCTGTTTGGTTTTTTTTCTTTCTCCGTACTTCCTCAATTGAAACCTCTTAACTTTGGTTTTACAATTGCTTAGAGAGAGGACTTTGGTCTTCCTCATAACTCCTCCTCCTTAACAAAATACTCCAGTCTCATTAAATCGAGACAGTTGGGAAGTACCTTGGAAATGGAGCAAGGGACAGTGAAGGTTGAACCTTCCATTCCCAAGGAAAGCTGGATTGTAATAATTACTGAGGCAATGGTAGCGCTCCCCTCAGGCTATGGTTCAGGTAGCGAATGCTCCAAGGCTGTCAGGGGACAACTGATCATTGCCACTCTTGGCTTTCACCCCAGCCTTTAGCCAAGCAACTGGAGTTCCTGGTACAGCCAGTGCTACTCCCACATTAGTTGTACAGAGTTCCTGGTGTGACCAAGGGACACTTCACCACCCCACCCATGACACAAAGGCCAAGGAATGGGAATTCCTAAGAGAGTAGAGCAGCCTGCGGTGCAATGGGGGTGATGTCTGATCACAACTGCTTTCCTGGAGATGGTTGAGCCCCAGCTCCCAATCAAGCACCACACAGACACCTGCTCACTCCCCGCCCGGGGAGGTGGGAGAGAACTGGAAGAGTAACAGTGAGAAAACTCGTGCGTTGAGACACAGTTTATTAGGTAGTACACAGATGAGGTAGAGGTGGGTGTTGGGGCTTGAAGAGTAGCTGGGGAGGTCTCTGCTGAAGGCTGGGAAACCATGAGCAGGAGAAACCATGGCACAAATGGTGTCACTCTAGTTTTGCTGAGCGCTGCACCTTCTTCTTGGGTTTGCTGCTCTGGGTTTCACCTTTTTGCAGTGATGTAAAGCATTTCAGATCAGCCTTCGGCTCACACCCTTTCCCCATCACCAACACCCGTGGGCTCTTCTGAGACGGCTTCAGGTTATGAACTCTAGGAAGAAAGGGACTGGTATTAGCCAGTGAACATTTTCAGCCAACCAGTTGCTCGCCTGTCTCCTCACAGAGCACACAGTGTCACATCCTCTCTCCAGGCAAGAAGCGAGCAGCAAATGAAAGAGAACTGCACTCCCTGCCATGGAGGCAGCAGAGGTGGAAGGGCAGAATCACAACCAGTTATGGGCCTGGGGACCAACTGTAGCACACGGGGCTCCAGGTAGAGAAGGAGGCTGTGCTTGTCCCATAAGGAAGCATAGCTAAGGACTGGCTGGCCCCTTGACAGCCGTTCTGGATCTCCCATTCCAGATTTTGCAGCCCTCCAGGAGCTTAGTGTTTCATACAGTGTCTTTTCCCATTGTCTCCACACAGATCCACAGACATCTCCACAGACATCTGGCCTTGGCCAGATGATCATCTTTCTGTACTCCTGTATGCTGTGTGTTCCTGCTGCCTCTCTGGGGCTGGCTGTCCCCAGGGCTGCACGCTCACCCACCCCAGTCAGAGGGACTGAAGGGAGGCTGTCAGAGGATGGAGCAGGCTCTGCTTGGTGCTGCCCATCAACAGGACAAGAGGCAATGGGCAGAACCTGATGCAAAACATGTTCCACCTGAACATGGGGAAGAACTTCTTTCCTGTGCAGGTGACAGGTTGTCCAGAGAGGGTGTGGAGTCTCCCTCACTGCAAGTATCCCAGAACCCTCTGGACACAATCCTGTGCCATGTGCTCTGGGGTGACCCTGCTTGAGCAGGGAGGGTGCACCCAATGGCCCATTCTGTGGTACCCACCAGGAGCATGGATTGGAAAGCACATGGACATTTCCTACCTGCACACCATTTCGGCCTTAAATTCCCCCACACACGTCGGGAAGAATTTCACACGGAAAATCTGATTCTGGCCAGCAGGGATGGTACCGCAGTGGGGCTCGATAGAGAACAGCGGTGGGTCCTTGACGGGAGTTGGAGACCATTCCGGGGAGGAGCTAAGGTGCAGAGTTGGCTGAGGCTGAGTTGGCTGAGGCTGAGTTGGCTGGGGCTGAGTTGACTGGGGCTGAGTTGACTCGAGTGGCGATGCCTGCTGCACCAGCCTTGCACAATTCCTTTCCCAGAGATCCTCAGCAGCAGAGGACAAGAAATCACCTGCAGGAGGAAAGAAGACATCTTTCAAAGACAAAATCCTTTGTTCCCAACAACTCTGCCTCCTGCTGCAAGTGGATAGAAGAGAGTTGGGCTGTACTTGGAGCGCCTCTGGCCAAGTACTTTCAGCAGGAGACAGAGTGGCTGGGAGCAGGGTCTCCACCTGCAGCACACACTCCCATGCCGGGGCAGGAGGCTTGGTTTTAGACAGTGACTTTGCATTTGCCCTGGAGTGGGGAACTGCATACAGACAGCGGCTGCAGGGCAGCTCACTTGTTCCACCCTGGTTTTTCCCAGTCTCAGAGACTTCCCAAAGAGGTGCCCTGATGTCCCCCTTCCTAGTCCTGACCCAGCACATGGTTGTCCCTGGAGCCCAGCTCAGCTCCTGTGCAGAGCACAAGTGGCAGAGCAAGAACAGGAGGGGCTAAAAGGTAGAGAAGGACGAAGGAGAAAACTCTCCAGCTGCAGCTGGGAAGTGGACAGGGATGAAAAAGCAATTAATGTTTTGGGGTGAAGTGGCAGGGTCTTCTCCCCAGGCCCTCAGCTACCAACTGAAATGGCCCAGGCACCACCCAGAGCCAAACACTTACATGTCTGAGTGGACGAGAACGACCTCCCAGAACTCTTTGATGGTATTTCCTCCTCCAGATTCTCCTGCCAGCAGTATTTCAGGGCTACATTGCCTGTATTGGACATCCGGAAACTGAAAAACAAGGAGGAGGAATAAAAAGCAAGTACTAAAGTAACACTGTCTGGTGGGCTCTTGGTACAACCTTCCCCAGGCAACTCTGCCACTTTCAGAATTCCTGCCCTGGGTGGCCCAAACAAAGTATTTCAAAGTCTGCAAGTTTAGGAGGAAAGGGCCAACATGGTGCCCAGCACTCATGTGCTTATCTCTGTCTGGAAGAGCTCAGTCTGCTTCAGCTGAACCTCGACCGTGTCCAGTTTGAACTTGGCGTAGTCAACCTGAGCACTGAGGACAAGCTTGACCTCGTGGCTGCTCTTCTCCAGGACGGTGTGAGGTGGTTCTGGGACTGCCTTGACCACCTGCAGGCAGAGGAGGGAAGAATCACTGAGCAGAGCCCAGAAAGCCAGGCTGAGCAGGGAAACCTTTTGGCCTCCAAACTTGGCCACATAGAAAGGACATTCAGGTTTATTTCCCTGGAAAGATGACAAAATTGGACTGGTGTACTACAGTATTGGTTTCTACCCACTGATCAAAGCAGTCACCACCACGGCTATTAATACACCCTTGGGGATTATGGCCAGTTGTCAGTTCCTGTGCTTCAACCCTGTAGAGCCTCTGACCTTTTCCCTGGTCCCCTATAAATCCAGCAGGTCTTGACATTAGGATTAAGTTCCCCTGCTAGAGCCCTGTTGATGGAGAAGCCCAGGACTGACTAGTCCTAGAAAGAACTTTTTCCTTCTTGTCTTAGGAGAAAGTGCTCTCCAGATTGTACATGTGGGGTGGGAGCTGGCTGTGGGCATTTTGGGATGTGAATGATCTCACTGGGAAAGTCTCCAACTGCTGATGCCCTGATGGGGAAGTTGGGTTTACAGGACTCACAATGATTCAGAAACTCAGAAAGAACCTTCACCAAGATAAGTGTGTTTGGCAACAATGATAGAAAAAGCAAGACTTTCTGGAGATGATGCTTCTCCAGACTCCTGCGTACTATCACACAGGGCCTGGGCTGCTCCATAATGAGATATCCCCCACAACACAGAGGCCACAACTAAAATCTCTGGTGTCGGTGTAGGCAGAGCTCAGAGCTCACCGGTGTACGCACAAGAGCACTTGTGCTGCTCTCCCCTTCAGAACAAGAGACAAAATGCAGTGGAATTAACTCCTTGTGGGTGACAAGGCACCAAATCAGATGAAGAGATTTTAACACTGTCAAATGGGATAAAATCAAACGTGACCTCCCACTCAACACAGGCTGCAACACTTGGCTCGTGGTGCAGACCGGTAGTTTGCGTGTGGATAAAGGTCTCTTGCCCAAAGGCTTCCCCCTGTGGTGTGAGCCCACCCGCTCACTGTGCATCCGCCTCTCCCTAAAAGGCACTGCTGGTGAACCTCCCTGCTGGAGCCAATGCCCAGGGGAGGCAGGAGCTGCTCTGCCAGCAGCGCTGGTGCTCTGCTGCTGTCGGCAGGTCCTTTTGCAGCAGTTCGGTGAGCTTTTGCTGCTGTGCTTCTTACCCTCCGCTTCAAAGGCCAGCGGGCTCCCGGGAGTCTCTCGGTGGTATCCTCCCACTTCTCAGTGCGCATTCTGTCATCCCAGTCGTAAACCTCCTCTGACGGCAACTGGTATTTGATCATGGCCACCTTACAATTCACAGAGTGCCTTTTGACGGTGACCGGGACCTTGGATTTCAAGGTCACTCTGATATTCTTGGCACAGCCAGGTTGGAGGTGTCCCACCTAGGGAGAACCAGAAAGTCAAGACCAAACTGGAAACACTGGCAAGGGCAGCACTGACAGCAAAAGGGGCTGATATGGCGAGCAGTTGTGCTGGGAATCAGCACCTCAGTGAGGATTTATGTGAGATTTGATAGAGCAAAATATGAACAGAAGGTGTTCCCTCCCAGAACGTGGAGCCTTTTCTGCTGGGCTGACAGCCCTGCCCCAGCAAAGACAGGGATTGCATCTCCTGCATGGCACTGGAATGGGCTCTCACTGGTATGTGGTGACTCCCTGCCAGCTCCCAGGAACACCAGGAAAGGGCCTGAGCAACCGGGAAAGGCAGGGCTGTCCCAGCTCACCTTGGGGGAGAACTGGAATGGGGCATCTGCCAGCAGCCACTCAAACCACATCACCTCCTCCTTGCTGCGGTTGGTGACTGTGAAGGTCTTGTCGAAGAGCTCCCTGACTGCACAATCGCTAAACTCAATGTGATTCACTCTCGCAGCTGTGAAGAAGGAGAGCAAGAGATCTCAGCATGCAGTGAGGTCCATCCACCCCCCTCACTTTAAGAGACACGTGTATGTTCAGCTCTTCCTTGCTCCAAGCCTCCCTCCCTCCCTCTGGGAGGTCCCCAAGCCCCTGGCTGTGCCTGTGCCCAGTGACAAGCAGCACAGCACACACTGCTCTGTGTGCACGGCTGGCAAGCTCACAGGCTCCCAGGTCCAGTGGGTGACAGCCCAGCCCTGGCTAGAGAGAGGACACACATGATCAGACATTTTCCTCTTCCTTGCTCTACCTTGGCAGCCTCTCCTCTCTTACCCTCAATGATGTCGTCCTCCAGATTGCCCTCAGCATTGCTCTTCTGGCTGTCTTCTGCTAGTCCAGGGAGGTTATCAAGGGTGAAGTCATCATTGTGGCCTTCACCCACCAGCTCTATGTCGATCTCACTGTTGCCTGACACTGGCACACGGATCTTCCCTTCCAGACATTGGGCCAGGGTGGGTTTGAAAAACACGTCAAACTCTGCTGATTGCCCGTGTTCCAGGAGCAGGTAAGGCTTCTTGGGACGCTTCTTGGCTGCACGGCAATGGGAATCAGAGTTAAGTGATAGAGCTGTACAGAGGAAATATTTCCCTGGGGTATACAAGGAATAAGAGGTTGGAATCAGTTGCTTCTAAGCACAGATTCTCCCACCAGTGGTTCCAGACCCTCTTCCTGTGTTCACAAGACTATGCCACCATCACACATATCACCACTTAAGCGGCTTAACCTCAGGTTAACGCCCAGCCCTCATTCCATCTGCTTCCAGCCAGCTCCTGCCATACCGAAGGCTGAGCCAAGGAGAAGTTTTGGCTTCTGCTGGCTGGCCTGTGTGCTCAAGGGTTGCCTCCCTTCAGGCTGGTACCTTCCCACATGCAGCAAAGACCTCAGCCAGTCCACTGAGGTGGTGATAGTCCCCCACAGCTCAACCCACCATGTCTCAAAGAACAGAAAAACTTCCTACAACTTGCTAGGAGGAAACCCTGCAAGGAGTCCACAAGAAAAGCTCGCGGGACAGAGAGACAAAGGCAAGAAACTATGTCCAACGTGTGGCTGCTGCTTAGACAAGCCAAGAGCAATGCACACCTTTTCCCTCTGTGAATGATCATGCTGCACGGTTAATGAATTTACCTTTTCCAGTGGAGTCCTTTTCCATGTCCCCAATGTGGAAGACGTGGAATGCGGACTGCCTGGCTTTTATAAAGAAAACTCCCTTGTGATCCATGATATGAACTATAAACTGAGAAAAGGGAACACAGAGCACAATGACATTGGTGTGAGTAGAGGCTGGCACGGGGGTTGAGCCCGTACAGCCGCTGGTCCAGCGCGGGGAACCCAGACCACCTCCCCACCTCAAACACAGCACTCAGCACAAAGGTTACGTGAAATCACACAGGGAAAAAAGGGTATTCAGAAGCATATGGATAGAACTGCCATAGAGCCAAACAGGACAGTCAGTCACGAACAGAATGTAACAGAACCACAACTAAGTTTAATTAAAATGGAGTCAACCAGTATCAAATGCAATCTCACAGAACTGGGACGTCACACACGCCCACATGAGAACAAAATGTGAGCTGGGAGATGGGGGAAAAACACCCCATCACCTTTCTTGCCTTGTGTTCAACTGATGAGGAAAGACTGAACAGAAAATCACATTTTTTGGGACCTTTCCTTCACAGGACAAGCACTTGTTCCCAGCCCAGAGCATTCCCTGAGCAGGTCCTTACCTGGGTGGGTATGATGCCATTGTTTCAAAGGACCAGGGGGAGTGTCTGTGAATCCCCCAGCAGGAGCCTCCTGAAGCGCAGCACAGGGTTTCCCCTCTTACTCCGAAGGCCCGGGCACTTGACTGTCACCTGAGGCACGTGCCCCTCTCCACTGATAGTGAAGGTCAGATGTTGGGGTTTCATCTTCATGGAGCTACTGGAGAGGCACAGAAACCATGTCAAGTACTCTGCCTAAGGGTACTGAAAGCATTAGAGGAGAGGCAGCTACTGGAACGGTCTCCCCAATACTTCAGAGGGTCACTACCTTTTTGGGCTAACAGGGGAAGCTGTGAAAGTGCACTGGTAGTCCTCCTTTTGTTCTGGAGTGAAGGTCACTGTAGCAAAGGTGTGGGATAAGCCGGGAATGCTCATCTCGACAGGATCCAGCTTGAAGATGTCGCTGATGAGGCTGTGAGGCTTGGGGAGGAACCCACAGTGCAGTTTTAGTGTCACATCTTTCAGTGTGACCCAGTACATTCCTAGATGCATCCCTGGGAACAGCCCCAGACAGCCTGTCTTGCTTCATGCTTCCCTGGGCAGGCTCCTCCATCCCAGGGGATGCTGACCTTGCGCCAATGCCCAGGCGAGCAAAAGCTTGCTTTGAGGGCTGGGCAGCCACCCCAGCACATGTGAGAGGTTGGGATGGCATGGAAACACCTGCAAATAACCCCGGACTGGCCTTTCAAGAGAAGGAAAAACCAGGAAATGCTCTGCTTTGAGCTCTGCCCCATCGGTCTGTAACAGCCCCTCTCTGAGTGTGCTTTCGAGAGATGTTCAGAAGGATTCCCACCAAAGACCCAGAAGCGTGAGCCAAAATTTGCTTGAGAGATGTGGAATTCAATGCAAGTGCCCCCCTGGCATTGCTGCTCTGCCCTGTAGTTTGACCTGCACTGAGCTGGACTGGTCCAGCTGGGCCAGAGAACGCAACGACTCTGGAGAACAAGGCAGGCTCTCACATGGCCTTTAGAGAGCAGCGCTCACCTTGGCCTCTTGTTCTTACCTCTCCAGGCATGGCTTTGATGGAGAGGACCATGTCACATGGGACACTGCTGCCATTAGAGATCTTGAAGCGAGCCGTGACCCGTTGCCCAACCTGAACTTTGGTGAAGATGAATTTGTTATCATCTCTGATGAACACACCGTTGCCTTGCACCGACTGTAACATCTGGCGGAGATTGACATTGCTGTGGATCGGGTACTGCTCAAAGATGGATGTGACGTCTTCAACAAGTGCTGCAGACAGATCAGAGGAAGGCCTGAGGCTGGAGAATCTCTTTTCTGAATTTACTTGGACCCAGCTGGCCTCTCAGAAGGCTTGATAAGCCCTTTCTGTCCAGGTGACTGCAAAACCCAGCCTTGGATGAGAAAGCTCAGTCAGTGAGGATGGAGCTCAGTCAACCTCAGTCTTAAAGGGCATTGCTTTTATGCTTCCACACATCCCTCCCAGCCTCTCCCCACTGGTGGACTTGACAAGGACTGCAGCCTCTGAGGATTTTAAGGTGGGACTTCAGGACCAGGGTGCCTCTCTATCCAAGTAGCAAGTTTAGGTGCTGATCAGCAGCAGGACTGCCCATGGCAACCTGTGGACAGCACGCACCTGGGAAGCAGGACTCGGCAGTCAGGGTAAAGGGAATGCCGAGGGGATTGTCCTTGGGGTCTCTGTTGCTGATGTCAATGTACAGCTGCTCCTCACATTTCCCCTCTGCTCCTGCGTTGCAATCCACTGTGATCTTCTGCTGGCCCCAAGGACCAATGGAGCCAGAGCAAGGGGACACGGTGAACATGCCTACAGTGAGCTGAGCCTGCAGAAAGAGCACCAGGACAGGCTGATGCCCAACAGCTGTGCCCTGAACACTCCCAGCAAGGAGGATGCCACGCCTCGGCCTCCAGCTGGGCCCGAGCACCCAGTGGTAGGGCAGGGAAGGATGACTCCACAGCCCAAAGGCAGCCCCAGGATGAGATGAACAAGCCAGGAGGAGCTGCAAGCCTGTCCCGAGTGGAAGAGAGGAAGGAGTTTGGGGAAAAGAATGAAGGTGGTAGCTGGGATCCTTCAACCTCCAGGGGTACAGGAGAGCAGAAAGGACTGAATGACGGCAGAGAGGGAGGGGATTGGGAAGAAGAAAAAGCAAAGTTGTCAATGTTCTATGGATTGGGAGTTCAGATGGGGACAGTTTGCTCCTGTGGTGTTCACAGATCTGTGCTGGCTAGCAGCCACCAAACACAGGGCCTGCTCCCCTCTCTTGACCCCACAACTGCAGGTCAGAGCCAGAGCATGGGACTGTCAGTGGAACTGAGCAGATAATGGACTCTCCATCCCACAGACCTTGTCCTACCCCCAGCCTGGGCACAGCTGCATCCTCCCCCATCCCCTGCAGCAGCACACACTGGGCAGGAGCAGGAACCACCCACCTGTGTGGAACGTTTTCTTTCCCTGATCGAGGGGGCAGATTCCTCTTGCTGTGAACTGAGAGGAGAAAGCAGAGACATCTGTCATGCTGAGTTCCCCTCCCTTTGTCTGAGGCCAAAGCTGGCCTTCCTCCCCGTGCAGGAAACCCTTCCTGCTCCCGATGGCCCCCGGAGAGCTGCCTGCAGCACCCATTGCTGCAGCTCATGGACAGAGCAGCTCTGTCACCAGCTTTGGCCCACGCATGAGGATACTGAGCTGTTGTTTTGCTCCCTCTTCCCAAGCCAGCGATCCAAATGGACAATAACCCAGGTCTGGCTGCCTGTCACACATCAGCTGTGTGGTGGTGCCTCCTCAGACAGAAAGGCTGGGGCAGGTCTTCTCTTACCTTTGCAGTGGAGGTGCTTGGCGGATGAGGAATTTGAAGTTAAGAGCACCTTTGTTCTCCACAATTAGGACCTGGCTCTTCTTGGTGCCCTGAACCATGGCACCGAAGTCAATGGGCGAGGCAGGCTCGATGCTGTACTTGCTGTACACAGCTCTCGCCGACACCCTCACTGGGATGGTGGCAACGGTCTCGCCTCCTTGACCCCATTTGAGATCAATGACCTGCAACCAGAGGAGGGGCTGGTAAACACAGCAGAGAGGCTAGCCTCTACCCCTGTCCCCTGACCCCAGCTCAGGTCTCCAGCAGCTCACCCTCCCTTTTTAAAGGCCTCTTCCAGAGCCAGATTTCCAGCATCTTACAAAGCCTCCCAAATGGTTTTGGAAGTCTCTGTTTGGGTGTGTAGGAGAGAGGATGCCCCAGCTAAAACCTGCTTTGCACAAGACACCTCTCCTGCTTATGCTCCCAAGACACACTGTGCTAACACAGTCAGGCCCAGGCAGCTCACCTGGCAGAGCAGGATGGGTTTGCTCTCGAGAAACACTTCAGTCGTGGGGTGGAAGAGGACCTCAACTTTCACAGGTGGTCGGGAGGCTTTCAGCACAGCCCTCTGCAGCTGGACAGTGAAGGGAGATTCCAAGTCGCCCCTTTTGGCACTTCCAGTGGTCAGCTTGAAACTGTGGAGAAAGGGAAAGAATGAAGACCTCTGCAGTTGAAAGTACAGGTGCCACCAGCACAGCCAGGACTCTGCATAGGACCAGAAAAAAAAGAAAAGGGAGCAGCACGGGAACAGGTTCTAGCCATGGACAGAGGGAGAACGCAGACCTGGGAGCCTGAGGAAAAGATCAGCATCAGGCAGCTGGACTCACCTGTACTCAATGTCGTATAAGCCTTTGTTCTTCAGGCTCAGGACTTGCTTCTTATTATCCAAGACATTAATGGTTCCAAATTCCAAGCTACCATCTGGACCTGCAGAAAACCCGCAGAGCGAGGTAAGAAATGGTGAATATTTGTGAGCTGCTGCAGAGCACACCAGCTCACAAGCTACACCGTTGGAGTTCTTGGATGGCAAGTGTCCCTTCTCAGAAGTGTTCTCTAGCTACTTGGCTGCCCTTTCTCTTCTTACTCCAAGGATCTGCAGGGTAGAAGCCAAGGAGCTTGGTTTCCATTTCCTTGTTTCCAAGCACAAATCCAGCTACTTTATGTTCTGTGCTGAGCCTTTGGGACTTGCCAACTGCCTGTTCAGATGACTGTTGTTCCAAAGCACCAAATGCAATCTGCACACGAAGCTGCACATTTCCAAGTTCAGACGGGAGAGACTCAAGGCTGTTGGTGCCCTGACAGCGCTTTACTTCACACAGCTTGCAAGGTCTGTGCTTTATGGATCTGTGCCACCCTTGCCTGCTATGCCATCCCCTCCCAAGGGCTTTGGTTGCCCACCTGCCAAGGTAGTAAAATGCACCCGGACTGTGTTGTCTGGGAGGCATCCACTGACCTTCAGGCATGTTGATGCTCAGATTAACATCGTAGACCTCCACAGAAACTTTGATGGTTTCAGCCTGAACAATGCCCAGGATGTTTTCTGTATCTGAAACCTGAGGCAGCAAGAAACAAACACTGCTTAGACCATTCTTTTGGAAGACAGCCTCTAAGTCCTTGTCTCTGCCAGCTGCTTCCCCCATGGCCTCCCTGGCTTGACAAGTTGTCCTAGTTAGAACAGCGGGGACCGATTCATCATTGGATGGGTGTAGCCCAAAACTGTGTATTCTATAGCCCTCCATGCCATTTCCCAGAAACTGTTGTCAGTAGAGGCCTGCGAGGTGCCCCCCCCCCTCCCCCCATGCTCCTGTCCTCATGCCCTTTTGTGGAATTCCCTGACTGAGCACCCTCACATCCTTTTATGGAATTCCCCACTCTGAGGGAAGGACTGAACATCCTTTTATGGAATTCCCCACTCTGGGGGAGGGGCTAAGCATTGCTGCCTGAGCTGGAGAATATATAAACCTGGAGCTTCAGAACCTTGCACTCTCTCCTCTCGTGGGATCCAGAGGAGGACTGCAGCTCACCGCTCTCAGCCAGACTGAGACCACCACCCTCAACTGAACTGCAATCACCACTTTGGCCAGACTGCAGCAGCTCTCCCACCAGCAGGTTTTCTTTTTCCCCTCTCCCTTTGCTTTGGACTCAGGGGGGGCCAGGGAGCACTGTTTTGTTTGTGCCCTGGGGTGCCAGGTTGTACATTTGGGTTTTGTGGGTTGAGACCAATTGCTTGTCTGTGTAGTTGTGCTTATTGTATTATTTTATTAAATTGTTATTCTGACTTGCAATCTCTCTTTTGAGTTGAGTTCATTTCCCTGCTGGTTAACTTTTAAACCAGCACACAAGTGTTTGTGGACTCCCAAGTTTTCTTAACCTGTTCATCTCACAGGCTGCCCCTGTGAGGGGGATTCTGCTGCAGTAGGAAACCTTATCAGCCCAATTCTGCACTCCCACAGCAGGGAATGGTGCTGCTAAAGCACCCTTGAGAGGCCCAGGGCTGTAAACACAACCACAAGAAATGCGAGGTGTCCCAGAGCAGGTGGCATTGACAATTAACACCCTCCTCGTCAATCACCTCGCATGTTTGCTGAAATGCAGCCTCTAAACCACAGGGAACGAAATCACAGAAAGGGTCCAGAGGGAGTGCTGGTCTGTACAACCAAACAACAGCCTTCAAGCCTGCACAGCAGCAAGGTGGCTGTGGTACAGGCTCCGGATGCAGAGCCTGGGCACCCGGCCAACCCAGCGCAGAGGCAGAAGTTGGGGCCACAGCACCCCCGTGTCTGTCAGGTGCAGCTCTTCCTGACTCTATCCCTAAGAGCACACGGTGGCTTGCTCTGCCCTGCTCTGCCAGGAAGGCCCAAGTCCCTCTCACCTCTAGTCGGATCATCTTATTCATGATGCCAATCTTCTCGGCCTTGAAATCCAACTTCACCTCAAAGTCTGTGCGGGGCCCAACGATGCCCCCACCTTGCGATACAGAAAAGTGTTCACCAAGGTCGTCCAGCCCACTGAGATGCCATGCCATGGGCAGTGGGCTGTCGTTTCTCAGGACCAGGGTCTGGGTGTCAGTCCTGCAGAGATAGGAAGACACTCAGCATCAGTGCTCGGTGGTCACACCAGCCTGGCCACTGAATGAGACTTGAAGCAGCTCTATCTGAGCCTCTGGAACCAGAGTCAAACCTCTTCTCTTCGTCACAAGCCTTGGAGTGCCCTCAGCCGTGGGATGACTCACCTGTGCAGAAGCAGCTTGTTGAAATGCAGCTCCTGGGGGCTGACCCTCAGCTTCACCTGCACCCCTTCGCAGCACAGTCGGAAGACCACTGGCTCCGGGTTGTCCTTGATCCAGTAGATGAGATTGTCTTCCAGGAGACCAGCGGAGATCGGGTACGCCAATCCGCACTCTTTTATTCTTACAATCCATGTGACTTCTTTAACCAACCAGATTACTTATGTCGGGGCATGCTCTCTTGGGCTTTTCTGCCTCGGCACATCTCTTGTGCCTTTAGACATGCCTCCCACAACACCTGTCTCCTAAATATCTAAAAGAAGTCACGATAACAGTGTAAACAACAGTGCAAACAACAATTCAAACAATCAAAACATTATAAACTGCCGAAGCTTGCAATGATCTTAGCACATCGCTTGCTCGACTTCTTATACTTCTATTGTAAACCTTTTTAAAACCTTCTTATATTCCTATAGGGTAGTGCAACTTGGAGGGAAAACTTTATTAACTTAGGGATCTTATCCTAACTGTGTATAAGCTTATAACTTTATTAATCTGAGAGTTTTCTTAACTGAGGGATTCAACTTTATTTAAAAAACAGGGTAATCTTAGCAAACTATTATTTCTTAAATGTGACCTTGTCGCTGAGGTAATGTTATTTTGTGAGGTGTTTTGTGTTTTATTATTTGACCAGTCAAACAACTCTTTTTATTCATTCACTCCTTTCATTCATCGGTGGTCACTGTACTGACACACACACACACACGTACACGCACTTTTTACAGACTGCTTTTTACCACTTTGGTCATTTCTTAATGTAAACTTGACAAAGGTGCCAGCACAGAAAGCTCTTGCTGCCCAAGGAGTCTCCAGGTTGGGAAACCAACTTCAATGAAAAACAAAAGCTTCCAGTCTTTCTTTCCTGGGGATAAGCAACCCAAATGGGTTTTCCTCCACACCTCTAGTTCATCTTCTTCCATCAGTCTAACCATCCCCATAGTGCATTGGCTATCATCCACGAGTCAGTGTAGAGGTAGAGTCTTGGTCATCCTTCTCGTTTGGCAATGTCCAGGGCCAATTGGACGCTTTTGAGTTCTGCAAATTGACTCGACTCGCCTTGACCCTCAGTAGCTTCTACCCCTCGTTGGGTGGGACTCCAAACGACTGCTTTCCACTTCCGGTTCCTTCCTACAATACGGCAAGAACCATCAGTGAAAAGGGCATAACGCCTTTCTTCATCTGGCAACTGATCGAATGGCGGAGTTTCTTCAGCTCGACTCACTGGCTCTTCTTCTGCCAGACTGAAGTTCCCACCTTCAGGCCAATTGGTGATAACCTCCAGAATTCCAGGGCGATTTGAGCTTCCCAATCGTACACGCTGCGTAATCAAGCCTATCCACTTGCTCCACGTAGCATTGGTGGCATGATGCATAGGGGGCACCTTCCCTTTGAACATCCAATTCAGGACTGGTAGTCGGGGTGCTAGGAGAAGCTGTGTTTCAGTGCCAATCACTTCTGAGGCTGCTTGTATGCCTTCATAGGCCGCCAGAATTTCCTTTTCCACAGGAGTGTAGTTGGCTTCAGAACCCCTATAGCTTCGACTCCAGAAGCCAAGTGGTCGCCGTGGCGTCTCACCAGGCACCTTTTGCCAGAGGCTCCAGGAGAGACCTTTATCTCCAGTTGTAGTGTAAAGTACGTTCTTCACGTCTGGTCCCGTTCGAACTGGTCCAAGAGCCACGGCATGTGCAATGTCTTGTTTGATCTCTTTGAACACCTGTTGCTGTTCAGGACCCCATTGAAAGGTATTCTTTTTACAGGTCACAAAGTGAAGAGGGCTCACAATCTGGCTATACCCAGGGATGTGCATTCTCCAGAAACCTATGGCCCCCAGGAGAGCTTGCATCTCCTTCTGTTGTAGACGGCGGGATAAAGACACACACGACCACAGAATTGATCCCTACTTATCCAACTTTATTGCTGCGTGCTTTGTGCTTATAAAGGTTTAATAATTAGCCTCATACATATTACAAAAGCTAAGCTCATCATTGGCTTCTGATTACCTAAAACATATTTGCGCAAATGCTGTGTGAATGCTGTTTTGTTTCATACTCTTATAGTTACTTGTTTGCTATTTGCTCTGCTTATTTCTATTCTTCTGTCACGTATGCAGTTTCACAGATACAGTGACCTTCCAATAGTTTTCCCTTACCGTGGGACCAGAGCTATAGTATCTTTCTCGTGTCCTCTTTCTATCAACCACCTTTCTGTGATACTCTCGACACTTCCCCCGTTTTCTTTTGATAATGTCAAAAATACATCATTCATTGCCTTCGTTAGCATGTTCTGTATACATTTAAAAACACAAGGAACAACGCATAAAGCAGCTAACAATATCAGCAAGAGTGAAATAGCTTGCTTAGTGATCTCAGCGAGCCATGGTCCTAAGCCTAACTTTGCTAACCATTCCCTGATAGGATCTTTTTGGACTTTAAAGTCATCCAAATGACCTTGCATTTCTTTTAGTTTTTGGTAAATGGACTGAGAGTGATCAGAAAGATTCATACAACACATGCCTTCAAATTCTTCACACCCATGCCCCTGAGCCAGCAATAGAAAATCTATAGCTGCTCTGTTCTGTAAAACAGCATGTCTTATTTCATCAAAGTCATGAGTCAATTCTCCCAAAATTTTTGAGGTTCTATTCATTTGATCCCTTGCCCAACAAGCTGTTCTTTGGACAAGAACCAGGCTCTTTTTTGCTCCAATGGGGGTAAATATGGATGCAAAGAAGTTTGCCGTAGGTGACCAAAATTTGATGGGTTGATTTTCTACTGATTTACAGTATTTATCGAATTCAGTGTCTTGTTTGTTCCAAATATTTTTCCTTCTCAACTGCGTTATTTTTCTCATAGTGGGTGTAAACATGGTCCACCAATAGGGTATTTAGGAATGCCAGACCATGCTCTATTACCACAAATCAAGAAATAACCAGGTGGTAAGTATTTTGGCTTCGTCACATTCACTGACACCTTTTTGACATTGCCTTGGCACCAGGTTATATTATCGTATTGAGGGTTCTGTGCTGTTATGTTTGTGGTGGATACATTCCCAATCGTTCGCTGCCATTGTAGAAAGGTCTTTTCCTTATTCATATTGAGTCTAAAACAAGAGTCATTCCCATACACAGCTCCAAATAACTGTAACTCACTAGGGCTATCTGTCATGGTCCTGTTCAGATTAGCTACCAACAAAAGAGATGTCATACCTTTGGTGCCGTTTGTGCATTCTTTTGTTACATTGCAGGCTAGTTCCACTTTGGTTTTGTTATGATTAGAACTAACCCACCCTGCAAAATCATTTGTATCAAGGTAAGGAATGCCAATTAAACACGTTTGAAAAGGATCTGACACTGAGGCTAAACTTAGACAGAAGTCCATTTGACCTGTTTGGTTGGCAAACGTTACCCAAATGTTTTCTCTGGGCCCAATAGGGATACTAGGATGCCCTTGTGTTATTAGAATTGTCTTCAAAATCCAAAACCACAAGGAAATCATCATTTTCTTCTAAATCTCTGAACATGCGCCTCTATACAAAATTTAGATATTGTTGTGGATACTGTGATTATATTTCCTGACACAAAGGTCTAAATATTTCTGTGTATTTCCTTGAAAGGGTCCATCAGGTAGTATAACCGTCAGAGGTGTGATTTTTTGACAACGGGCAGCTATTATCTTAATACCTCTTATGATACCTATGCGCTTTATAACATGCTTTGTGTCCCAGCATAAATATGCTAAGGTTTTTTGCTCACTGCTTTCAAATAGTTGTGAAGCTGCGGCTAGTGGCAGACCAGTGGTTTGTTGTAATTCGTGCTGCCATGTTTCTAATAATATTGTATATGCACAAAGTTTACACCAGATACCCGATAGATTATACTGTTCTATCCACCACTTATTTCCGCAAGTACGACACTTAATAGCAACCCAAGCTAAGCATCCTGATTTTTTACAAGCAAAACAGTGCCAAATTCCAAAGTCTTTCAGCGTAAAGTGATATAGTGCATTTAACAATTGAATATAAGATTCATAACTAGAACATTGTGATATCTCTGATCGTAGCTCTTTGGGCAGTCTTTTGAGCTCACGTATCCGGGGCAGCAACAGAAGACTGATTCTCGTCTCGATTCGATTGCGTTCCGCTTCCGTTGCCGTCAGGGATCGGAACATTCACAGCAGCTCGAGTCCACTTGGCAGGTATCCAAAGAGACCCCTGTGGTGAAGACACACAGAGATAACCTCTACCCCAATACAATACTTTTGCTGGGTTTTACCAAATACCTGTACATGGATCTTTAAATCTTACCCATACTTCTGGTGGGCTTTCTACTTTCTGCTCTGTCATATAATGAGTTACTGCAGGGGGAACCTTTTAGTCCCCGAATATGCAAAGATGATTTAACACAAATAGTACTTTACTCAACCTTTCTTTTATATCTATAACTTGTCTGTGTTTTTCTAAATATGTTTTCAGAGTATGATGAGCCCACTCTATAATGGCTTGTCCAGTGGGTGAATGAGAAATGCCTGTACAATGAACTACTTGCCATTTTTGCATAAACTGATGTACTCTAGTACCTGTATAGGCAGGTCCATTATCTGTCTTCACTTGTTGAGGTTTCCCCATTACTGCAAAACACTCACATAGATGTCTCTTAACATGTAGTGCTTTCTCCCCTGTTTGAACTGTAGCCCATATGAAGTGACTATATGTGTCAATACATACGTGTATATATTTAAACCTCCCAAAAGGTGCATAATGTGTGACATCCATTTGCCATATTTCATTACTCTTTAACCCTCTAGGGTTTACTCCCATACCTAATCCTACACCACTATTATGATTACTACATGCTGCACAGGATCTAACAATGTTTTTGGCATCATTTAGGGTAATATCAGACATCCTCTTTAATCCTCTAGCATTTTGATGATACTGTTCATGATTTTTCTGCGCTTTGACAAATTCTTCTTCATCTTCTGTGGCCATGGAAACTAACTTGTCCACCCTAGCATTTCCTTCACCTAATCCAATGTCCCATTTATGACTACGTACATGTATGACAGCATATTCGTGGTCTCTGTTAGTTACTGCTAACCATAATTGACAAAATAATTGGAATAATCTCTTATTCTGAACTTCTTTAATTAGGGCTCCTTCTATCCGGTTTACTACTCCTGCTACATAAAATGAATCAGTAACAATGTTAAGAGGCCTATTCATGCTAGCTAAGGCTCTGACTACTGCTAACAACTCTAAGGTCTGCAATGAGTCTGTAGGTTCTCCTGCTATGATTTCATGTTTCCATTCTCCTTTTTCTACCCAAGTTAAGGCAACTGTGTGAGATTTCTTGCCAGCATCTGTATAAACTGTTCGTGCATGTGGAATCGGTTGATCCTGTTTTTTAGGCTTTGTTATCCAGTGCCAGGAGCCAATCCATGCTGTAGGAACATTGTTCAATTTACTGGTAATTATAGGACATGATAGTCCCAACAATGCCTCTTGAAGAACATCATTAGTAATTAGGTACCGATCAAGAACATCTTTCTGCATTGGTAATCATATACGTACAGGTTCCTGAGCATCAATCTGTAATACACGCTCTCTACCCTTTTTTATTAGAGCTGCTAACATTTCAATTTTTTGTAAGAGTGTTTTAGACTGTTGTATGCCAGTCAATAGCCATTCTATGACACCTATATCCTCCCCTGCTTCTGTTTGTGACTGTGTGATGGCCCCCAAGACATATCGTTTATCAGCCCAGAATGTAAGTTCCAAAGGCAGATCCCACTGTAGCCTCCGGACACAACCTTGAGTGACACAGTCTAAAATTTGTTGGAGTATGTGTTGTTGGTACTTTGTTACAGTAATCCTTGTTACTGGGTCTGTTCCCTTTAATAGGGGTCGTAATTCAACCAAAAGGTCAGCAGGGATCCCTACTACAGGATGTAGCCACTGTAAATCACCAAGAAGTTTTTGTGCATCATTCACAGTGCGTAATTTTGACTGAAATATCAATTTCTGTGGGATAACAGCATGTCGGGAGATAGTCCAACCTAAATATTTCCATGGTGATGTCGTTTGAATTTTTTCATCTGCTATCATTAATTTGAATTGTTCCAAATGTTTGTGAATTATTTGTATCTACTGGGGCATAAAATCTTCAGGTTGACAGAATAAAATATCATCCATGTAATGATAGATTATACAGTCAGGCCATCTACGCTGTAGGGCTTGTAATGCAGTATCCACATATAGTTGGCATAAGGTAGGACTGTTTTTCATCCCTTGTGGTAATACTGTCCACTCAAACCTTTGATCAGGCTTTTCTTGATTGATGGCAGGTAATGTAAAAGCAAAACGTTTAGTATCACGAGGATGTAATTGAATTGTAAAGAAACAATCTTTTAAATCTATAATCACTAAAGACCAGCCCATTGGAAGCATTGCAGGATTCGGTAGTCCAGGTTGTAAGGCCCCCATGGTTTCCATTTGTGAATTTCCAGATTTTTTCTTTATTACAAATATGGGTGTATTCCAGGGCCTTGATCAAATTGTTCTTGCACTAATTTATGAGCTACTTCCAGGTTTTCCCGTTTTAGAGGCCATTGCTTAACCCATACCGGAGTATCAACAACCCAAGTAATAGGAATTGGGAAAGACCAAGCAATGGCTACTCCCCCAAAGGGTAATCATTGGAGAGTTTCATTCCGATTTGAGTTAAGACATCTCTCCCTATTAGGCATTGTACTGTTGGTGGAAGTTGTACAACAGACAGAACAGCATTGGCTACACGACCCTCCACTTCTATACTTGCAACTTTGTTATCATCTAAAACAGCCTCCCATATTTTATCACCAAACTTGCGCCATTCCTCTAAGGAATGCACAGTATGTGGATTAATAAAGCACCCTTTTTCATAACCATAATCAAGTAACTCAGGAAGTTCCTTTTTCAAGTCTTAATCTTTAACCCCTTTTTTCTGTAAAAATTCAGAAAATAAACTATATGCTGCTTCCCTATCCATACCTATATCAGCGCACTGTTGCAGCCTTTCAGGGTCCGGCAGTACATACAGTAGAACTCGCCTATACAACACTCCAGGTCCGAAGTTGCTCTTTATGTCAACTTTTTTTTGACCAACCTCGCTGCTAAGGCTCCGACACCTTACCATCCAACCGTGATTCCCCCGTTTCTTTAAGTCGAGAAGTCGAGGTCACCATTTGTTGTAGACGGCGGGATAAAGACACACACGACCACAGAATTGATCCCTACTTATCCAACTTTATTGCTGCGTGCTTTGTGCTTATAAAGGTTTAATAATTAGCCTCATACATATTACAAAAGCTAAGCTCATCATTGGTTTCTGATTACCTAAAACATATTTGCGCAAATGCTGTGTGAATGCTGTTTTGTTTCATACTCTTATAGTTACTTGTTTGCTATTTGCTCTGCTTTCCCATCCACTTTATTCTATTCTTCTGTCACGTATGCAGTTTCACAGATACAGTGACCTTCCAATAGTTTTCCCTTACCGTGGGACCAGAGCTATAGTATCTTTCTCGTGTCCTCTTTCTATCAACCACCTTTCTGTGATACTCTCGACATCCTTCTTGTTGGTCGGTGGAGCCATGGCTACAATCTTATTGATGACATCTGTTGGTATCTGACGTCGTCCATCTTGCCATTTCACCCCTAGGAATTGGATCTCTCTGGCAGGTCCCTTGACCTTATTCTTCTTAATGGCGAAACCGGCATCAAGGAGAATCGGGATGATTTCCTCTCCTTTCTCAAAAACTTCTTCCACTGTGTCCCCCCATACTATAATGTCATCAATGTACTGGATATGTTCTGGGGCCTTGCCCTTCTCCAGTGTGGCCTGAATCAGTCCATGGCAGATTGTTGGGCTGTGCTTGCACCCCTGGGGCAGTCGGTTCCACGTGTACTACACACCTCTCCACGTGAAAGCAAACTGCGGCCTGCACTCTGTTGCTAGGGGAATGGAGAAAAATGCATTGGCGATGTCGATGGTAGCATACCACTTCGCTGTCTTGGACTCCAGCTCGTATTGGAGCTCCAACATGTCTGGTACAGCAGCACTCAATGGCGGCGTGACTTCATTCAAGCCACGATAGTCCACCGTCAGTCTCCATTCGCCATCTGACTTATGTACAGGCCAAATGGGGTTATTGAAGGGTGAGTGTGTTCTACTAACCACCCCTTGGCTTTCCAACTTGCAGATCATCTTATGGATGGGGATCACAGCGTCTCGATCCGTCCGGTACTGTCACCTATGCACTGTCTTAGTGGCTGTTGGCACTTGTTGGTCCTCAACCTGCAGTAATCCTACAACAGAAGGATCTTCTGAGAGGTCGGGCAGGGCAGATAATCATTTGGATTCCTCTTCAGTCACTGTGGCTATACCAAAAGCCCATCGGTACCCCTTCAGGGCTTTGAAGTATCCTCTCCTGAGGTAATCCATGCCAAGAATGCAAGGGGCTTCTGGCCCTGTCACAATGGAATGTTTTTCCCATTGGTCTCCTGTCAGGCTTATTTCGGTCTCTACCACTGACAGCTCTTGAGACCCTCCTGTCACCCCAGAAATTGAAACAGTCTCTGTGCTCACATGTCCTGAGGGCATTAACGTACACTGTGCGTCGGTATCTATTAAAACTTGGTATCTCTGAGGATCCGATGTGCCAGGTCATCGAACCCACACAGTCCAGTAAACTCTGTTATCTTTCTCGTCCCTCTCCTTCTCCTGGCAGAAGGCAGGGCCCCTCTATTGCTTCTGGTCGGAGCATTCACCATCGGATCTTTGTTTCAGCTTTTCAGAGGCTTTCTTGTCATCCTGGAAACGGACTCCAGACCCTCTGCATCTGGGGAATCTCAGTTCTCTTTCAAAGAAATCTGCATCTACTATGTAGACAACTTTCTTGTCGGCTTCCTTGCATTTTAGTTCTCTCACTCTGGCCTCAAGTCTGGAAGTAGGTTCACCATCCCACTTCCTCATGTTTTCTCCATGGACGCGCAGATAGGACCACAGTTCACTTAGGGTTTTCGCTCCTTCTGCGTGTGACAGAAGGAGATCGTGAGCGGGACCGGGACCAAGATCGAGATCATGGTCAAGACCGGTCTGCTGATCTATCTCTGTAGCGTCTGTCCCTGTGGTCTCCGTAGTCATCTTCATAATCAGAGCGCCCGTAAGGCTCATCTCTCTCAGGTCTTCGTCTATAACCAGAATCAGAATAGTCTCTAGAAAACTCATTCCTAGATTCTACTGTTTCTTTTAGATGTCACAGAACCGTACACAGCATGCTCACAGGCGTTTCTGGCATGTTTGGAAGCATTACTCCTGCCAAGGTATGGACATATGATGCAGGAGCACCCTGGATTATCTTCTTCCACATGGGCATTGTGCAAGCAATAACCTCTGGGTCATCAGTGAACGGGATCGTATTGAGGGTCATCATACAAAAGTTCCAGCAATACCAATTCTCTTAGGTACTGGATGGCGTCTTCTATCTTGGTCCACCTCCTCGTGGGGCACGGTAAATAGTCTTTAAATGGAAACCTTTGTCTCACACTTAAGACAAGTCGCGCCCAAAGACTGAGGTCGGGTTTCT